CGGGTTAAACGAATCACGTTGGAAGTTCTTGTTAATTCTTTATAGAAATATGGGCTATGGAACGCTATATCAATTAACTGCATATGCATACATACCTATCTGTAAATTTGAAAACTGAAGTACTACATATTTTTACTACTCATAATTTTTTCTAACAGTCATACAGTTTATTGTAACAAAAACAGTTATAAGACACTGAACAGGCACTGAATCCACAGTAAAACAATTCAATTTTGCTCGGGTAACGGATGCCTTGCAATGTCGCTTAGTCACATCCTGGACAGTTACAAAAGCGAGTCCAGTTTCCAGCGCTTAAACGCAATCATGGCGTGACTCTTTCTTTTCGCAGACTTTGACTAGACTGGAGGTTACACCAGATTCAAGTAATAAATATAACAGATATTTTATTTATTTATACTTTATTGCACACACAGAAAAAAATTGTAAACATTGCAATAGTAATTTGAGTACAATGGGCGGTCTTATCACACGCGGCGATTTCTTCCAGACAACCTTTGGATGGAATTTTTGAAAAGAATCTGGGAATGGGTGGTAGATGCACAATAAAAGAAAACCAAAATAGAAGAAAACAATAAAAAACAAATTAAACAATCAATGAAACTTACAGACTACATATTTTTGCTTTTATCTCTTTTTTAAGTATGCTTGTACTACTAATATACTAAACCTTTCGGAAAACTCAATCTCATCTGTAGTACTCCGTAATATAAATCAACACATTACTACAACACTACTTACTCTAAATAACTGTCCTAAATACTAGAATAGTTGACATCCTCGAAGCATTACCTAATCCAGTCAAATCAAGATTTAAATATCATTTAGGAAATCAGTCCTAATCTAATTTACCCGTAACTATTTGCGGTTAAAAAACTTAACTATTTATCCGCACTGATGGACCGCCTTGTGGATGAGCAAGAGCAAAGTATTCAATCAACAGCCTATAAATAAGTGGCCACTGCTGACCTAAGGTCTCTTCTCATACGGACAAGGTTTGAGCATTAATTACCACGCTTGCTCAATGCGGGTTGGCGATTTGAAACTTATAATTAGAAATTATAAGTCAACCTGGATTTTTTCCTTCACCGTTTATCGTTTGTCAGTGATGTCTAAATAATCTTAGAAAGTACACATAACTCGGAAAAGATCTCATGAGTACTTGCTGTTGGTATGTTTCAAACTCGAGCCCTCATGCATGAGATGCGGCCGTTTTAGACCTCCGAGTCACCACGACTCGGAGCCAAGAAATACTAGGTAATTGGTATTATACATTTTTGATGTTTTAGATTCCCTATCCACGAGGTATGGTTAAGATAGAAATAATAAGATAGTGACGAAAACTAACATTTGAACGTACGCCTTCAAAAGTCCGAATGGACGGTGATACTATAAGTAGAATTAAAGTAGAAGGTCATGTGAGCGGATTTGAGGGACCAAGTGATACATGAGGTGGTTCCACTTGGCTGATGGTAGTTCACAACACGTTGCCAGACCGTGCAAATTGTCCGAATCGTAAGGTTTTTGTCGATAATATTAATTTAGATGACTGTTTAGATATGGAAACTCGGTTTTGTTATTCCTTTTTAGGATTTTTATTTGAGGACGAATGTTTTAGTTGTTTATGTTTAAAATTTTGATAATGTCATGGTTATTATGTATTCTTTGAAAAGGAAACTCAAGGATTTGGAGATGCATACGTATAGAAACAAAAACTTCTAAATCAATTCATGGTATGTATCAAACAGAAAACAGTTCACATAATGAAGTTTACTTAAACTAGGAAATTTTAACTAAAGTCTATTAGGTATCCGAGGTGTAGGAGACGTTAAATGGTAATCATCATGCATTTAAAGTATTAGAAAGAAATTGCCATCTTTTCTTTCGAATTGTAGCCATGAATTATTATATGAACGCGGAACTTCTCGCGTACAATCAAACCTAACCTCGGTTTTCTGTTAAGTTACAGAAACCATGGTCACGGGATGAATGTACACAATGAAGATTTTGCAAATTAAATTAGGACTTACTAACTATAGCGAGCCACGCCATACTTATGAAAAGGCAGGTTTAAGATAGTTCTGCTAGAGAATCAAACTGGGAATGACCGTATATACGTAAGTTTAAAAGGAAAGGTGCCAAATGAAAAACCATAATCTCAGCTGAGGGTACAACCAACCCTGGAAAACTAACACGTGTTGCAACTTTTATTGTGGGGTAAAATTCATCCAATCACTTCTCTTGTCATAAGTGAGGTGAGAAGGCATGTCAGACTCTTACTGACTAAACACCACCCCGTTCCTACTCCTGTTGCAACCTAAGATTTTAATTTTTGTTGGTTTTGGAGCATGCCCTTTGAAACTGGAGCAAAAATCTTTTGAAATTGAACCCTACCATAGCACTCACGAGGTTTTTATTTTAATTTACACTTTCAAAGAAATTTTTAGACGGCTGATGGAATTTTAAATTATTTGGAGTATACTAAAGAATGAAGAAGATATCTACAGCATTTTGTAGTTCTTATTTTCGAGAACATTTAGAGATGAAATTTTTGTACAGATGCACATTTCGCCAACCTAATCCATGCAAATCTGAGAAGGCTGATGTGATCTTACAAAATATCCTCTATCAGGTCTCGGTATCCCGATAAAAATAAAATTGATTAACGACCAACTCAAAACACAAATACCTTATAAAGACACACTCAAGCAGACTATGTATTATTTCGATATTTCTCTGAACTGTAGCATTTTTTCAACCGATTCAATCTTTGAGCTAACGGGGCAGACGGATCCAATCAAATCGATTTGTATTTATTCACTTCGCAGAGCAAACTAAAGAAACAAAATACTAACGAAACCGACCGCGATATCGGTACATTTTTCCTTGATTGCAATCCTACTATATATTTGTGAACACGAAAGTTTTTGGATGGATGGATAACAAGAAACGTCGATCAATGGGCCGGCTCGACCGGAGTGATACCACGGCCTCACAGAAAACCGACGTGAAGCAACGCTTGCGTTGTGTTTCGTCTTGTGAGTGAGGTTACTGGAGGCCCAATTACCCTCCCCTTCCCCAATCTCCCCAATCCCTGAATCCCCAACGATCCTCAAACTGCTAATCCCAAAAAGCCAGTAACGCACTTGTAACGCCTGTGGTGTTCCAAGCCGATTGCTTACCATCACGTGATCCGTCTGCTCGTTTACCAGCTTATGCCATAAAAAAAAAATGGGTGGTTTTTTGTTTTTTTTCCACCATGGACTGGCACTGTTGTATTAAGGTCGCAAAGTGTGATGTGATTCACAAGCCACTAAGTATTTTTTTTAGGGGGGAAAATCATCGAGTGACTGCTCCCGCCTGAGTGAGGCAGGGGGAGTGTCATACTCTTACTGTACAGCAACTAAGTATACCTTATCTTTAGGATTTGTAAATTGATATTGAGTTTTTCATTGTAAAGTTATTAGTAGCAGCATGGAAATTAAAGTTGGAGTCGGTAGGCAGCGATATGGTTACGTCTTTATTCAAGGCATTTGTAACGTGATTAGAAAAGTAAGAAATTTATCACCTTGGATTGTTCCCTCTCTCGCTCTCACCTAGCAAGAAACTAGAAATCAAAATCATAATATTATGATACTTAACATCTAAAAACTACTAAACGAAGATAGGCCATGACTTGTGCTAAAGATAGAACACTTTTTATCACAGTTTTAAAGCCAACACAACACAGTTCCTAGAATAAAAACCTAGATAGCCTTTACGAGTTAGTACACAAGTTATAAGCCGTGACGAAGCCAATCATTTCGTTAGCAGTTCATAGTAATACTAGATTCATCATCTCAATACGAAACATGACTGCTTCAATTAATTGAGACATTATTTGGAGGAAACTTCATTGTGATGTATGACTTCTTCTCATTTGTACACCTACTGTGTCTTAGTAGTGTAGGTATGTGTATTTTCATTGTATTATTTGAAAAGTACCTAACTCTAATTTCTGATATTGTATGTGGCAATTAGTTGCGCCGATTGCTTAATATTAGGTGAACAATCATCTTCTGAAATAGCCCATTAAAAGTAACTATTTCATGCTTTGCTTATCATGAGAGAGTCGAGTTCCATAACATCTTTCATTTACAGACGCAAGGAGAGATAATCAAAAGAAATTCTATTTCCAAATGAAATTCAACACCTCGTATATCCATTACCTCTTTACAATTTACCTGCAGTCTCCACAAAAATGTTTAATCTCCTTACATCGTTCCCTACACCGCGACTCCCGGGGAATTGATGAGGCACTCTCGTCTCGTATCTCGTTGACTCTATTAGCAAACGAACCACGCAGCGAATTGATGATATCGAGCCCTGATTGCTGCCGCGACGTTACGATTGGATGGTCACATGTTCCAAGATTAGAGTACAGCGCACAGATAATTACGTTTTAGTGTGATAATTAATTAACGTATGTTTATTGGAGATTAAGGGTCGAATTCTGAAATATAGACGGAGAATTATCTGGTGTTACGCATGAATAATTTGCGAATGACATTTACATACGACGGTGAAGCCGTTGCTTTTATTTCTGTCTGTGAATAAACCCCAAAGACAAGATTTCTACAGCAGCAGTTAACCCAGCTTACTAACGGAAAACACTAGCAAAACAAAATAAATTGCAAGATACCGCATTGCCGCTCTAATGGCACTTACAATTTGTTTCCAGCGCGAGTACGTTACAAATCAGGTTTAATCCAAAACCAATCCACCGTTACAAAATACATTAATACCAAAAACCCACAAAGCATTACACAAATCGGAGACAAAGCTCAGCGTAATTACTAAAGTATTGACGATGAAAAAAAAGGTTAAAAATCAAAGTTACGACCTCTGCGGAATTTTATAGAACGTCCATTAGTTCCAATCGGAAACTGCGCGAACGACAAAGATAAAATTGTAACGTGTAACAAGATTTTACGACGGTCATCTCAATCAGAGCGGCAGCAATTTGCTACAATTGAAAACAAATAAATGACCGGCACCATCTCAATTCGCTGCGCTTCCGACCTCGGTGTTGGTGACGTCTTTTCTGATATAAACATTGTTTATTATATTTTATACTGTAAAATACTTTGAGTGAAGAAGAATTGTGTAGTTTTACAAATGCATATTATCTTACCATTTCTAGATATGACCCTCCGCAACAAATGCCCGAAGCGGCGAGCTCCCATACATATCCTCTGTTCCCGTACCACTTCATCCGTGCAGTCACTATCACTCGCCGTATCATCATCCGTGTCATCCTCTGACACGAGAGATTCGCGCTTGACAGCTTTAGAATTATTCTCACTAAAACTTAATGTCGGTTCACTGGCACCTAAGCTCTTTGGCTCCACATTCCAGCCATCCAGTTTTTGTACATCATTGAACAGATCGTCTAAATTAGTTTCTAATAAACCTTTGGCACTACATATCACTTTACTTTTGGCATCATTGTGAGTTACGATGGCATCAACGCTGTTTGACAGACATTTGTCGCGACGCACACTTTTTGCGTCGGCAGCATCGTCCATCTCATGGCTGACATTTATATTGTCACGAGTTTTCGTTCGTTGTTTTATTCTTAAGGAATTTTGTGACACTATTTTGGACTTTTCCATTTGTCCCCCACTTTTTTCTGTGGACAATGAATTCAATTCTCTCGGCACTATCTGGTTTTGAGGATGGCTCGCACGAAATATATTCGAAAGCACTAACATTTTCACTGTTTTTAATGCACCGACACTGGTCAAATATTCCATCACTGCATTCCTTTTTCATTTCACTGTTTCCGATGCGACGCACTAAACGAAAAATAAAATGGTTTTGTGTTTGTTCGCCTCGCTTTTGAGAACTGCCTGTTGCAACACAACAACATACATGTAGGTATGCAAATGCATTCTTTATGGAAAACTAGACATTATTCAAGCGTATAGAATATTCTGGAGTGGTCCGGGTTTGTGTGATATTTCGCTTGGAGCGACGTTGGAGGACACGATACGACTGAATAAATAAAATATAAGCGGAGAAACAATCCGGTGCCTTCGCGAGGGATTTACACAGTTTTTAATGTATACCAGGAATAAGGTTTAAAGTGATTCTAATTTTAGAGTCATGAAAATGGTAAGAGATTTATTTTACGAGAGATTTACGGAGTGTCTAGTGTCGGAGCAGCTTAGCTTGTCTGTGAGGGAATTCTCTTTATGAAGTTGGTCGCTAAGGCGCATCTGTCACCTAGGAACAAAGCTACGACTGTAGGCGACGACAGCTACGTGATAACATTTCTAGACACGTAAAAGTTATCAACGTGAGCAGCTTTAGCTCTGCAGTAAATCAAATTTACCTTGGACATTGTATATGGCTGGCTTGCTTTGTTGTTTATAGAATTAGTGTTTGTTCTGTTTCAAGAATAATTCTAGAAGACATTTCATACGATTTAAAATCTCTACTAGAGGTCAATTGGAATTTGGAATACGAATTCCGGCATATTGGAACCTTGGCGTAAGTATTGTATGATGAGACGGCAGAGTAGCAATTTGTGCCAATAAATTAAATCGGCATTGAAACCAATCATAAGATAATTACCTATAGACAATTTTGATTGTCTAGTTTGGAAATACGTTGCATGTTGTTTTCGTAATACGTCATTGATGGCCAATCAAATTTATGAAATCTGAAATTGGTATGTAAATTCCTTAACGCAACAAATACTTATATACAAATTTCTAGTCACTGATAGGTATAGGTAACTGTTTTCTTTTTAACGTTGCCTTACACTACTTACACTACACTATTATCTCCTGTATCGTGGGTGCGTTTACAAACAGAAAATTTCACATACACTTGATACCCAGACTCGGTACAACAATCAGTGGATCACACAAAAAAATGTTCCGTGCGGGAATTGAACCGACACGTAGCACGGCAGCCAGTTGCCCAGCCACCGCGCCAACCGTATAGTCAACTTTATAACTATTAATTTTAATGTTCCGCTATTTGTAGAAAAGGTTTAATTCAATCTCGTGGATTGACGTCCTCTTATAACTTTCCATCAATGGGATTCAAGTCTACACTTTTGTAACATGTGCAAACTCTTCTAGAAAATGATGAGAAGTAATCACATAACATAACATAACATCACGCTTTTTATCCCCGAAGGGGTGCCTACTCCTGATGATGATGATGGCGTGATGTTATGTTATGTTAGAGGTGCACATTATGCCACTGTACAATGTAACACCAACTTTTCACTATTTAGGTTATGAGTCCCATGTAATAGGGGGTGAGCCTATTGCCATATACCGGGCACATTTCCAGTCTCCATGCTACTACTGAGAATTTTTAAACAACCAGTAATACTTGGCCCGACCCGGGAATCGAACCCGAGACCCCTTGCCCGGCAGTCGCACTTGTGACCACTCGGCCAACGAGGCAGTCGAGAAGTAATCAATAATCTATTATTTTGAGAAAAACCACTGACATTTAAAACTAGCACCTGTGTTGTTTCGTTTATTTGTTAATGATAAAGATCTAATCACAGATCTTCCATTCGTATCTTCGAATGGAAGATCTTGTTTACTATTTATTTAAGATACAAAAGCAATAAAAACAAAACTAATAAAGAGTATAGCGGTCAGATAATAACTATTTCCATAATGACTGAACAGTTGGCGCGGTGGCTCGGCAACTGGCTGCCACGCAACGTGTCGCGGGTTCGATTCTTGCACGAAAGAACTCGTTGTGTGATCCACAGATTGTTGTTCCGGGTCTGGATGTCATGTGTGTGTGAACTTGTATATTTGTAAACGCACCCAAAACAGGAAAAAAGTGTTTCTAAAAAAAAATTAACTAAGCACAGGGCTTTATGTACATTTTGTTATCAATAGTTATAATCTTTATTTATCCATAGCTTACCTAATTAGAATTACCTATAGAGTAAAAGCAAATCGATTAACGGCAAAGATTTCGTAATAAAGCCATTACAGGAGCCATCGCTTGTTACTAGGGTCGAATTAAATTATCTTTATCAATGATCCCTAATTTACCAGCCACGTGTATAAAGTTAAACCCTAAAACCAAAACACTTGACGCAACAAAACACTTCAACTTTCTATCAACAAAGTACGAGAATCACGAAATCGAAACGTAGCCAAAATATATAGCAAAAACAAAAGATCAAAGGGACCACAACCCTACGTAGGCATCTTATCTCAACCCTTCGCAGTCGAGTGTCACGTGAGGTACCCCATGTAGTAGTGTCCGCTTGTCGACTAGAGGTGTACCGCCACCTACATTATGCAGTGGCTTACGGCCGCCGACCGGCTTTTTGCCCTAATCTTGTTAAACGAACGTGTTTCGCATGCGGAAATTTTAAACAACTATTTTTCCCGTGCCGCGTGGGATTACGCCGATGACAGCGCTTTAGTTTCGCCGTTAAACTTCCTACATTTAAGCCGATTGATTTGTACTATTTTCCGGATAGTTTTTTTATATTGAAATATGTCATTTTATGCTTTATAACAATATTTGCTTTCAGTGATAAGCGAGCACGGTGCTCTAACAAATCAGAAGCATGGATCTATTTTTATCTATGCAAATAAACACGACAGATCGATTGCATGACCAAACTGGTTGTTTTTGTCTTATGCCCGATCAACATTTGCGTTTACATAGAAAATAAAAAATAGATATACATCTACATAATTTATGGAATAAAGTCAACTTATTATACTTCTAGTAGCCACAATAAAGTTCTTCTGACGTGCGATGACGTCATCGCAAACAAACATGGCGGATGGCGGTCTACGAATTTGACTTTCAAATTCACACAGACAATAATAAGCACGAATTACATGTTCACACAGTTCTAAATACGATGTTAATCGTTTTGGCAATCAAAAAAATAAACAAAAAATCTCAAGGTTTTGGACAAGGTTAGTTTCCACAAGTCTGTTACGTCATGACCCTTAGGCGGTCATTACACCTACCACATAAGCCTATTGGTCACGACTCCCAAGTTATGTCACAAATTTATTATTATCAGTTGCCAAATAGTTGCTTAACCGTATTAATATGACAGAAGGCCGTAAGTCTTGCGAGTTGCAGAGATCGTTCAATTCACTCATAAATGTGCATTATTAATCATCAACTTCACGCTTAATTATTTTAATTAGTTATCAGCTGGTACAATAGTGACTCAACACGTCTGAAAGAAATGTTATTTTGAGGTCAAATACCAAACAAAATCTCATAATAATAATAATGTAACTATTCCTTCCCGCTAAATTGATCAACTAGTTACAAAATCAACTATCTGTTAAGCACTATCACCGACATTAGTATGCACTATGTAGCAAGCCGAGTCTGTTGACTACCTAAGTTTATGTTACACACAGACGCTATGCATTAGCCAATATCCTGGATATCTCAACTTCCCGAGGGGACTGCGACTCTCCTGAACCATGATTAGTCGATTACCATCATCGTCTGACGCATATGAGTCAGTAATCGATTCAGTAACTACAGATTTGATTCGATAAAGGTTTCTATTTTGTTAATTACTTCGTCAAATCGTAGGATCCGCTTTAAAAACTAACATATTGAACTGAATATTTATAACAATAATTGTTCACACATATTCCACGTAGGTCATAGACAAAACTAAACGAGCTCTAAAAAGTCTCATTACAAACTATTGCACAGATTCAAAAACGTAAATTAAAAACGTTATTTTCCCGCGATAAATTCACACTCGAAATTTGAAATGCAAAGGTATGTGTCAAATGTACCTAGTGCTGGCTGTTTGCAGTCTCGCTCGTAAATCGTGACGATATTTGTGCGATCCTCGTGAACGCAAACAATGCTTTGATCTCGAGTTTCGACAGGGTGTGCTAACGTTGTTTTTAGCTAATTACGTTTTTATGGGAGAGAAAATTTGCAGTGACAGAAGATAAACACAAGTTCTGTTTATGAGCCAAACATGAGTGTTTGTAGCCTTTGTAGGGCAACTGATTAATTGAACGTAGTGATATACGACTATGAAGGTTTAAAGATATTTATTCAGCAAAAATCAATTGTGATTATTACTTACCTAAGCATTAGTACTTAAGCATAAACGTGTCTAGCACAAGAATAGGGTCTGAACCAAAAATCCAACAAAATCAAGTTTTTTTTCCGACTTTAACTTCTATTTTGAAGTCGGTTAATGTAATAATGTGTGTAATATACTAAAACCTAAGTGTAACAAACCCCGCATCAAAATCTGTTCAGCCAATTTTGAGATAAACGCGCACAAACATAGATACGTCAAACTGACAACCTCCTTTTATTGAAGTCGGTTAAAAAAGTGCAATATAACCCACAACACTGGCCCAGTGTTGTGTAGCAATAACAAGAATCCATATTAGTACAGCGAATTAATTGAAAACATCGTATGTGTGAACCAGTCACCATTCCGCAGAAGTTATGTTAAGACGAGTTCTTAAACGACTACTTGGTACCTTACTTATTTGCAACAACTGTGTATAATAATTAATTTATTATGTTTTCGGCTTACTCACGTAGTAATTTGACGCAGCGCGCAACGCGCAACGAAGCAGCGCGACAGTCGCCGCGTCGCGGG